TCCCCCCCCCAACGCCCCGGGGCTGGGCTGGCCTGAGCCGAGTTGAGATCAGACTTCGTATGCAGGGGGCTGGATAGATAGAGGCCATCCCGCCTCGCTTGATGGCCTCTGGAGGTCCCTTCCAGCCCGCTTCACCATGGCTCCCCAAGCCTAGTGGCAGTGCCCCTGTCCCGCACAAGTTTTGGTCCAGGGGTGTGCGAGGTGGAGACATAGCCGTCCCTCTCGGTGGTTGGCATCTCCTCAGTGATGGGGCGCTGCCTCCAGGTCTGGGAGCCACACTTTGATGAGGACGTGGACGAGCTTGAGAGAGTCCGGAGAAGGGCCACCCGTATGATCCGCTTGAGAGAGTCCGGAGAAGGGCCGCCTGTATGATCTGCATGGCCAGCCACACAAGGAAAGGCTGAGGGATCTGGGACTCTTCAGCCTGAAAAAGAGGGGACTTGGTAGCAGCTTACTGCTACATCAGGGGAGTACATCAAGGGCTCAGTGAACTGCTTGCCAGGGCACCCTTGGGGAAAACTAGGAGTAATGGTCACAAATTCCTGAAAGACCATTTCAGGCTCAACATTAGGAAAATTACTTCACAACTAGGGTGTCCAGACTGTGCAATAAGCTCCCTCCAGAGGTGGCGCAGTCACCTACCCTGGAAATCTTCAAGAGGAGACTGGATGGGCACCTTGCTGGGGTCATCTGACCCCAGCTGTCTTTCTTGCTTGGTGCAGGGGGGCTTCCAAAGTCCCTTCTGGCCTTTCAATCTATGAACCAGTCAAAATGCCACAGGCAGGGATTCTCCTGGGTCATCACTTTCATGGAACAGGCAAAGATTTTTTTTGTTTGTTTGAGGGAGTAGATCTCTTTTATGGGCCAACCATGTGGTTGGCAGCAGGGGTGGCTCCAGGGGGATGCACTGGTGCCCTCACACCCACTTTGACTGCAGTTCCACCCATGGTTTCAAACCACCTTCCTGGTGAAAGCTGCAGCACTGCTAGCCAGGCAGCACTGAAGGACTCACTTGATGTCATGGCTCATTTTTATCTACCTGTCATCTACTATTAAATATCTATAATCTATAATGCCAGGAGAGAGCTTGAAGAGGTGGAAGACCTTGACCAGCCAAACGATCCTAAGGGTGGCAAGGGACATGGCTTGCTGGCTGTTACCCGGCCTCTCAGCCAGCTTGGTGCCCAGAGTGATAAAATAGGGGATGATAGCCACTATGTTGGTGTTCATGATGTTCTTGCCGGGACAGGCTGAGAAGCAGAGAAGCCACTCAAAAGGGAGGGAGGGAGTCATTTGACTTCATGGCTCATTATCATCCACCTGTCATGTACAGTTATACATCTATAATCCACAATGTCAGGACTTGTACTTGCCTAGGTATGCGTGTACACAGGCATGTACCCAACTGGCCAGAGCACAGCCCACTGAGCAGGCTCAGCATGCATGTAAAGTAGGATCACAAATGGTGTGTAAGTGCCAAAAACAGCACTCACAGAGCAGTAAGTACCTATTGGCTGTTTAATGTGAAATAAGAAGCACTCCTATGTCTGTCACTGGCAAATAATGAAAAGATGATCCGAAAGATATTTTATACTCACATCTAAACTTCTTCTTACCCTTGGCCAAGGACAAATGCCCTCAACTTATACCTTTGCCACTCTGCTGCCTATTTTGACAAACCATCTTGTATCACACGGTGTATAACCTTGATTCCTTTCTAAACTCTTCATTCCCCAGGGTGTCAGCAACCCTCTTCTTTTTAATGGTCTTGATGTTCCACCAATCAGCCTACCCTTTATTCTGCACTTCTGCTGTCTGTTTGCTGCTCCTGGTAATGAAGCTGCTGTTTGACAAGCTCCCGAAGTTATACTTTGTTTTTGCTTCGATCTTAAACTGCATAATGCATCCCTAAGCCTCTAGCATATCAGTAACACTTTTGGTTTATTTCTAGTTGTAGAAAAATATGTGTTGTGTTAAATGTGATAATGCACCTCACCGTCTATACCCCCTTTTTCAAAATTCTAGGTCCTCCCAGGGCTGGAATGAAGTTGGGCAGGCTTTCCAAAGCAAGACATTCTTCATCGGGTCTGACATGGGAAGCCTGATGAAGAATATCTTTTGCAAGCTTGTCTAACTTTATTCTATCCATGCAGTTGATCCAAGAAAAAGATCACCCCTCCAAAAAATCTTTGCCTCCCACATAATTCCTGGACCATCGTAACTACGACATCATTCTAAGACTACCATATCTTTTATTGGACTAACTGCATGGTTGAGACAGGCATAGGCAAGCTTTCAGGCATCACAGTACCTTTCTCCTCAGGCCTCTGGGAAAGAAGCAGACACAGCCAAAATTAAATTAAAATGCCATCTTAAATGCACTTCCTGTTCATTAAAGTCAAAACAAAAATAAAATTCTTACACTTTTGAAATCCAAGTTTGCATCTCAGAATCCCTGGCAGGAAAATTAAAAACAAGATTCTTTACTCAGAATGGACATCTGACATTTGACACACAAATATTTCCACTGTGATGAAAAAGAAGCTTTCAGTGGGGAGCTTCCTGCACAAACAGTTTTGTCCAGCTCTAGTATTCACATTAGCCCAACACTCACCTGAGCAAACATGGTTACCGAGATGGTTGCCCACATGATATGCATCCCATGAAGTTTGCTGGGAAGCATAGATCCAAAAAACCCTAATCCCTAAAATAGTGCATGGTACAACAAAGTATGTTGTTTGTTTTTTTAATTCAAGATACAAAATTCCTCTGGTTTTCACAGTCCACATTTTCTAGAACTAAGTGTTGCCTTCCTGGATTTTTCTTAAATTAAAAACACACTGAAAAAAATTACTGTGGTTATACTAATTTTATACTCTAGTATAACCACTAATTACTGTGGTAATGCTAGAGGTCACATTGAGGTGTCAAGACATTGCAACCACCCTTTCCTTCTATATTACTAAATGGAAATTGGTCCAGGCTGAATGGCCACATAGTTCTAGGGGACATGAATCCCAATGTGGATACAGACCAAGAGCCACTGTGCTTCAGTTTATTACTGTGGCTATTTTTAAGTATAACAGCCTCCAGAAGGTGGGGGGGGGGAACAGATGAAAAGTTCAAATTTATTTATTCTTTAAGCTAGTAACAAGCTGAATAAGATATACAAAAATACATATGGAGCCAAGCATGAGATAATAGTTCTGTGTGTAGATATTTTAAGAAATAACACACTCAGAGTTATACACAGCAACTCCAAATGAATATTTCAAACAATGCCCATGTTTCTAAATGAAATCGTAAAGTAGGATACACTTTGCCAGTATAACTGCATTGGAACAGGGAAACATAACCTATGCCTCTCTCTAGCCTCAGTATTTCCTGTGATGATGAATGTCTCTGAGATGACTTAAGCAACTTGATTCACATGTGCTGAGTACTCATGCAAGTTGTGTGTACAGTTAGTTTAAGCAGTTTTGCATTCCTACCTGCCACCAAACTTTTTGGAAACCTGTAAAGGTTCTTTGCATGGTACCTTGAGATATGGTGAACCTACTTTGAAAGCCATTTTTTATTTGCATAGAAGACAATGAAATGAGAGAACATGAGATGACAGGCTCTTAACCAGTCACTTGAAAGTGTTGTAACTTCCCACGTGGTTCATATGTGGGGCTTACCTCAAGCCTCAGGCCAGGAGACTGGTGGGCTTAAATGTAGTCATTAAATGGGAGTGGACCTTCCTTTCCATCTTTCCTTCATTTCCACCCTCTCCTGCTAGATGACAGTTTACATGGCCAAGTATCACATGTACCACAGTGGTGCCCACTAGTAATAAGCTTTCCCACTGATGCCAGCCAACTACATTTGACTGGCTAACAGCTAAACCAAGAGACAACAATTTATAATACCTATCATTTAATAAATCAACACACATCGCTAACTCAGCCTCCCTTATTTCCTATCACTTATCTTATTCTGAAAAACCTATAGTGATTCATGGATATTAAAAACCTGTGGTTAATTATCTAGCAAAACACTTCTGTGGTTTTACAGTTTTTGTTTTTGCAGACTGCAAGCAGTAAGTAGCTCAGCCTGCCAGGCAAGTGCACTCTGGTAAAAGTCTAACAAGAGTAAGGTGCTTAAAATGGATGCCAGCTTCAGTTCCCTGTTTGAATCTATTCTGAAATCCTTGTCTTTTATCTTATTAGTCCCACTTACCGGGTCTCCTTTTAATTTAGGATTGGGGTTGTCCTTTATTCTGTATCTATACAATGCCCAGAATTCCCAGCCTATCTAGCACATCTTGCAGCTACTATAATTAATAATACTTAGTAAATAATATTCTTCCTTCAGATTTATCCATATCATTGACCAAGCATGAGCAGAATCATATTCTCTCTCCTGCCAGCCCTCTAGATTTCCATATGTACTGCACTACAAAAGCTCATGCGCATAGTGTAATACAATATAAACTTAGTAACAGATCAATGGGAAACAGTATTTTATTTGCAGGACAGGAAAACCAAGGAAATTCCCCAGTTTAAACAGACAATTTCCAAGCCAGAGGGATCATTTTTTTCTGTGGTTTGTATGATTAGGTGCTAACTATATCATGATATGCTCATTACATAAGGGTTGACAGAGCTGGAAGATTTGTATGGTTCATCTTCCTTCTGCTAGGAATTTTGCCAATAAATTACTGTTGCCTCGCCTCTATAACAAACAAGAAAGCATTATACTATAAACAACTTT